AATACAACCATTCGGGGGCAATATATAGATACGTTTACGCCTTTTTATCAACCAATTACGCAACAAAACCGATTCTCAAACTCCGATTCCGAAACAATTTTCCGAGACCGTTTTCGCCGTTTCGAAATGCGAAAACGACAAGGCCGCGATCTACCGTTTATCATGTCCGCCGAAACGCATATCGCAACTCCCGTCCGGCAGAACGGTCGGACGGGAACGGCTCGGATACGCAGAAAAAGAAACCGGAATACAGCGGGATCGCAACCCCGCCGTTTTACGGCCGGACGCGGGGAAGCATGACCGCACGAATTTCAAAATGTTAATTATTATTACCATATTTGCGGAATAAATATAAAATCACCTATCGCAGGAATGAATAAAGATTTAACCTGGAACGCCTCTGATAATAAAGATCGGGAATCGACCGAAACGAACATCCCGCGAAAACGGGCCCGTTACGGTGGAACTGCTCGAAGCGCTCCGCGACGGGGATCACGAGGCCTACAAGACCGTATACCTGCATTACCGGGGCCCGATCGAGAACTTTCTATATAAATTGTTGCGCTCCCGCGAAGAAGCCGAGGAAATCGCGCAGCACGTATTTATGACCCTGTGGGAGAGGCGGGCCGAGTTGGACCCTTCCAAAAATATCCGTACCCTACTCTATACGATCGCACGGAATGCGGTGGTCAATTTGTTCAAACGCCAGCGGGTTTTCGAGAAATACCAGAAAATGCAGGACCCCGGCGAACAGGATCTTCTGACAGGCGAAGACCTGTTGATCGCGCAGGAAAAAGAACTACTCATAGAGCTGGCCGTCAAGAACATGCCTCCGATGCGCCGGAAAATATTCGAAATGAGCCGGCAGCAGAACCTCTCGCACGAAGAGATCGCGCAGCACCTTGATACGTCCAACACAATGTCGCGAACCACCTGTCGCAAGCCCTGAAAAAAATCAAGCGCACGCTCAAATAGTCAATTCCCGCCGCAACCGGCCGGGGATCGCCCCATGCATCGTAAAAACCAGAACAACGCGCCGTTCGGATGAATCCGATTCTACTTTTGTATAAAACAGCTCTTTGATTGTATTATAATCATAACGGTCGTACGCTCCGTCCGGCAATACCCGTTCCGCAATACGATTTCAAAAAATAATTCAAATAGATACTCCAGCATATCCGAACGACTGTATTTATGAGCACCGACCCGCAAAAAACGATCCAGGAGATCATCGACCTGTACCTCGGCGAAGAGCATCCCGACGAACATACCCAGGAGCAGTTCCGCGCCTGGCTTGCCGGCGACGGCCACCGGAAAGAGAAATACGAGGCCCTGGAAAAAGCGTTCGAAAGAGAAGTCCGGTTCGATCCGGCCCCGAGCCGCAAAGTACTGGACTCGTACCGGGAAATGACCGGCGCGGCGCGAGGCGCCGGCGTAGAACGCTCCCGGTCGCGAAAAAGAACGGCCCTGCGCATCGCCGCGGCGGCAGTTCCGGCACTGATCGCCGCCGCGACGATCTTATACCTGCTGAATCAACGCCTCAGCGAACATTTCGACGTGACCGTCCTGTCCGACGTGACCGAATCGACGGAGCGCGGAACGCAAAAACACATCATTCTGCCCGACGGTTCGCAGGCATGGATAAACAGCGGCAGCAGCATCGGATACTGCGACGATTTTGGATCGAAACGCACGGTTTACCTCGACGGAGAGGCGTATTTCATCGTGAAGGCCTCCGTACAGCAGCCGTTCACGGTGAAAACGGAAAACATGACCGCCGTGGCGACGGAAGCCCAATTCAACGTCAAGGCCTACTGCGACAGCGCAGCCTGCGAAATCGTCGTAGCGGAAGGCTCCCTCGACGCCTTCTGCGGCGGGCAAACCTATCGCCTGGCAGACAATACACACATCCGGATGGACAACCGGTCGCAGCGCGTCACCGTGCACCGGATCGTCGACGGCGAACTGCCGCAATGGATGTCGCAGTTGCGATTCGAAGACACGCCGCTCGAACACGTGCTTTATATCATCTCCGGATTTTTCGGCGTGAAAATCGACCTGGCGGCCGAACTGGAACTGGAAGGGAACTTCACGGCCGCCTTCGAAGAAGGCCGACGCTGGACAACGTACTGCTTACGTTGCAAAATACCGTACCGGACTTCAATTACCGGATCGACGGGAACACGGTGCGCATCACGGAAAAACAGGTACGGGACGAAAAAATATCGAAATAATGTCAAGGCGTGTAAAATTATACACGCCTTTGATATACGACCGGTTCGGGAGACCGCTTCCGGCCGTTTTCCGCAGGAGCACGGAATCACCACCACACCTGTTCGCCGTTTTCAAGGGTGAAAATACGCTCTTCTTTCCCCCGGGTATGGTCCCTCAACAGCAAAAGCGCATGGGACGGTATGTTGTCGTAATACAAATTCATGTTCTCCGCCTTTTTTTTACCGAGCGATTCCCAGCCGGATTCATCTTTCCAATAGAACAGTTCATAAACATCGCCGATGCGGATGTTGTTGTCGTCGCTGCGAAAAGCATACTCTACGCTGCCGATCGAAACCGGTTCGCCGAAATCCATCCCGGCCCAACTGTTATTGGGATCGGTAGAGTCAAAGAACGTGAAAGGATCGCCGTCGAACACGGCCTCCCTGGTTCGTCGGGGATCGTCGAGGTAGGAGCCCGGCGTTCCGATAATCGTTCCTCTCAGGGAACGATTCGAACCGGGGGGGTGGAACAGCAGTTCGGCCATGTTGTTAAATCCGGCAAGAGAAGAAAAATAACGCCAATACCGGTATTTCGGAGTTTCCGCAGGAATCCGCACCTCGCCGGCCGACTGAGCCTCCGTAAATTCGTGAATCGTAACGACATCGCTGAAATCCGGCCGATTGGCAGCCTGTATTTTACCGGATATCAACCTTTTGGTCACTGTCGTCATCGCGTGGTAATACGGATATTTCCGCAGCAATTTAACGATTCGCGGTTTACGGTATCGGGAATCAGCAGGTCTACCTTGCCGTAGGCGTCAACCGTAAAAGGGTACGACAGCGGCGTGATTTTCTCCCCGTCGGAGCAATACACCGGAAGATAGGCGATGTCGCGTCCGATAGCTTCGAAAACCGCTTCCGATCCGCCGACATCTCCGAATCCGACCGGGACCCAATTCCGATTGTCAAAAACCGCCACATAAGCGTACTTATCCTCTTTTTTAGTGCGGGATCGATCCTGATCCGGACGTCTTGCGTAGACACATATTCGGCGGTAACATCTTTTATCGTCACGGTACTGAGAGACGAAGGAACCGCTTCCCCGCTATTGTTCAACCGGATAAAAACCGGATTGAGCGCATAGCATTGGCGGTAGACTTTAGCCATCATCTCTCCGGGACGGTGAGGCGTTCCCGGATCCGTGTCCAACGGAACGAACTCTTCGAAACGCCCGTTATTGGAGACCTGAATGACATTCCAGGAATGTCCCTGGGCCTGAGTCGGCCACTGAGGGGTAAAATCGACAGCCACGGGAATGCCTTTGCTTTGCAAAACCGCCTTAACGACAATCCCTTTATCCGTGCAATTGGACAAATGCATCTTCAGAAAAGTAGACATCCGGAGGATCGGCAGTCCCGTATACGCATAGGGCAACGTCGTTTTCAAATGGGAGTTCAGTCCCTGATTTATATTCAGCGCCGCCCAATGCGGAGAATGACAGGTAAATCTTCCGGCTCTCAGATCGGTCAGGTCGTACAGCCGATCGGCCAATTCACTGCATTCGTCTTTCCAGTTATCCGCCTGAAAAGCCGGCGCGGCTTTGTAAGGAAGAATATATTCGCAAAAATCGTCAAACGTAAGATGAGCGGCCCAGGGCGCATTCGCCCAAGTTTCAAAAGCGTTTTCGATGTTTCGAATCAGATAGTCCGCTTTGAGTATCCGGATGTCCGATTGGCTGGAAGACGGTTTTACGGGGAACCGCTTGGAAACCGCCTCCATAGCCTTCACTTTGAATCCGGCCCAATCCTGATCATCGGCTTCTTTCAGATTCGTTTTTGCGAGTTCGAGCAAAGAAGTATCCAGAGGAGTCGCCAGAATCGAATCGACCTGATCGCAAAACGCATTGACGATCGCCGGATCGAGCGAATAATGCCCCGGCATGTTTTTAATCAGAAACTCGGCCGCACGGAGCTTCAGACTGTCCTCGCTTTTTCGACTGTAATGAGCCAACACCTTTTCCATTTCTCCGCGGTTAGGCCCCGCGCATCGGAGAGCCCATTCCAAAGTGGGTCTGTCTTTCGAACACGAGCAAACGGAGAGTAAAAAAGAAGAGATAAAGATAAATAACGCATAATTTAAAAGTTAACAATTTTCCACCTGATCTGTTTGAATACGCTAAAGCATCGAACGTCGTTCAAAAAAATAATAAAATCAGACGAGAATCTACGCTGGCGTTTCGAGCGGAATCGTCCGATTACGACAACCGATAAAATAACTTTGTCAGCCGTTCCCATCCATATCGCTATACATTCTGCCTATATCCTATTTTTTTGAAAGTATCGACGACTCGTTGCATCCGTATATTATATAATTTCAGACGATATATTCCAGCCAAAAATAACAAATAAAAGCATTCGAAAACAAAACAGAACGAAATTTTCGAACGGGATCACAAAGCCGCAGCGGCCCAAAGCCGTTCTCGCCGCCGGAGAGGAACGCGACGCCCCGTTTCCGGCGCCGCCGGAATGCCGCGGATACCCGGCGACGGACCGCATTCGAAATAAAATGCGTGAAATCCCGTTATCTATGCAGAAATTAGCATAAATGAAAAAATAATATTACCTTTGTCGAGTAAACAACGCGAGTTCATTCTGATCTTTATCTTCTTTGCATTTTCCCGGACAGTTCCGTCCGGCTTCTTTCATCGTTGAAATCGACCTTTATAAGCTTTCTTGTTTCGGCAATCAACTGCCCGAGTAGGTTTGTTACCAGGACTGAAGACGGCATATGTCAAATTTCAACGGTATTACGGAAATGAAATCATTTTTCATCGGCAAGTACGAAATCAAACTGCCCATCGTACAAGGCGGTATGGGCGTGGGCGTATCGCTCAACGGATTGGCTTCGGCCGTCGCGAACGAAGGGGGCGTCGGAGTCATATCGGCAGCCGGGCTGGGGCTGCTCTATCCCGGCTATAAAGGAAGCTATTCCGAGAAGTGCATATACGGGCTGCGGCAGGAGATCCGCAAAGCCCGCGAAAGACTTACGGAGTGATCGGGATCAACATCATGGTCGCGCTCTCCAATTTTCCCGACATGGTACGCACGGCCGTCTCGGAAAATGCGGACGTGATCTTCGCAGGGGCCGGTCTTCCGCTCGATCTGCCGGGTTATCTGACCGAGGGGAGCCGGACGCAACTCGTTCCGATCGTCTCTTCTTCCCGGGCGGCGCGGCTGATTTGCGAAAAATGGTCGGCCAATTACGGGTATCTCCCGGACGCGATCGTCGTGGAAGGGCCGAAAGCCGGAGGGCACCTGGGTTTCAAAAAGGAGCAGATCGAAGACGAGCACTACTCGCTGGAGCATCTGATCCCGGAAGTGGTCGAAGTGGCCCGGAGCTATGCCGGCCGAAAAAACATTCCGGTCATCGCGGCGGGCGGAATAGCGACCGGTGAAGACATCGCGCGGTTTATGGCGTTGGGGGCATCGGCGGTACAGATGGGCTCCATCTTCGTTCCGACCGAAGAGTGCGACGCGTCGGTCGAATTCAAAAAAGTGTATCTGAACGCCCATCGCGAAGACATACGCATCATTCAGAGCCCGGTAGGGATGCCGGACGCGCTTTCGACGGGGAGTTCATCCGGAATGTGGCCGAAGGGAAGGAGAAACCCCGCTCCTGCCCGTTCCATTGCATCAAAACGTGCGACTATACCAAAAGTCCGTATTGTATCATCAAAGCGCTCTACAATGCAGCCAAAGGCAATATGAAAAAAGGCTATGCCTTTGCCGGCGGCAACGCTTATCTTTCCGACAAGATCAGGAGCGTCAGGGAAGTAGTCGAAAAGCTGAAAACGGACTTCTTCCTTTCCAAAGCCGCCTTTTGAGCGGCATCAACTTTTAAAAACGTCCGCGAATGCGGAATTTAGTATGACATTCACGAACTGAACATTGCAGAACGATCTTGAAGCGGTCTGCGAAAAAGGATATAACGAGCCGACCCCTATTCAGGAACAGGCCATCCCGGTTGTCCTCCGGGAAAAGATATTTTCGGAATCGCCCAGACGGGTACGGGAAAAACGGCGGCATTCGCCATTCCCATCCTGCAAATGCTGTCGGAAGACAGCGCCCGGGACGAACGATCTTCGGTAATCGAGCCCGGCGCGAGCCGCCGCGACCGGCGAGGAAGATCGCACGGGAAAAAAGAGTTGCCGCGCAATCAGATCGCTGATTCTGACTCCTACGCGCGAGCTTGCCCTGCAGATCGGCGATTGCTTCACCGATTACGGCAATACACCGGTCTGAAACACACGGCGATATTCGGCGGCGTGAAGCAGAATCCGCAAACGGAAAACTGCGGCAGGGCGTGGATATCCTGATCGCCACCCCCGGACGGTTGCTCGACCTGATCGCACAGGGAGAGGTGAAGTTAGACGCCCTGACGCATTTCGTACTGGACGAGGCGGACAGGATGCTCGACATGGATTCATCGCCGATATCAGGCGGCTGCTGAAAGTGCTGCCGGCGAAACGTCAAACGCTCTTTTTCTCGGCTACGATGCCCAAGGATATCGTCGCGTTGTCGGGGTCTATCCTGCACGATCCGGTACGGGTGGAAGTGACTCCCGTTTCCTCGACGGTCGATACGGTCGACCAATGCGTCTATTTCGTCGAGAAACCCGAGAAAAAAGGCCTGCTGATATCGGTGCTGAAAAAAGAGTCCGACCAATCGGTACTGGTATTTTCGCGGACGAAACACGGCGCGGACAACATCTCGCGCACCCTGAAGAAAGCCGGCATCCAGAGCGAAGCGATCCACGGAAACAAATCCCAAGGACAGCGACAACGGGCCCTGAGCGACTTCAAATCGGGAAAAATCAAAGTCATGGTGGCCACCGACATCGCTGCGCGGGGCATCGACATCCATGAACTCAACCTGGTAATCAACTACGATCTGCCCGACGTAGCCGAAACCTACGTACACCGCATCGGGCGCACCGGCCGCGCAGGACATACGGAAGAGCCCTTACGTTTTACCAGCGACGAGCAGGTAATGGTAAAAGACATTCAGAACTGACCGGCAGAAAACTGGCGACAGTGCGTCACACCGCTTAATCGTTTTATTAACTTTAAAATATATTAATGGCAGGATCACAATCATTTGGGAAAAGAGAAAACGAAAAGAAAAGCAGGCCAAACGCCTCGAAAAGCAGAAACGCAAGGAAGAACGCCAGGCGACCGGCACCAGTTCGTTCGACGACATGATCGCTTATGTGGACGAGAACGGCAATTTCACCGACGTACCGCCCGAAGAACGCAAGAAAGAAGCGGTCAAGCTGGAAGACATCGTCATTGCCGTTCCCAAAAAAGACGACTCCGAACCGGAGATACAGAGAGGCCGGGTCGAGCATTTCAACGAAGGGAAGGGATACGGCTTTATCAAGGATCTCACGTCCGGCGAGAAGTATTTCTTCCATGTTTCGTCTGCGCCCGCGGGCATCTCGGAAGGCAACACCGTTACTTTCGAGACGGAGCGGAGCGCACGGGGCATGAATGCGATAAACATCACATTGACAAAATAACGATACGATTCACTCACAAAAACAGAAAAAATGAATATTTACGTTTCACACCTGAACTTCGCTACGAAAGACGACAGTTTACTGAATTTATTCGCGGAATACGGAGAAGTATCTTCCGCCAACATCATCATGGATCGCGAAACCGGTCGCTCGCGCGGGTTCGGTTTTGTCGAAATGCCCAATGACGCCGAAGGCCGGAAGGCCATCGAAGCGTTGAACGACACGGAGTTCGAAGGCAAAGTCATCGGTGTGAACATCGCCCGGCCGAAAACCGAAAGAAGCAACGACGGCTATATCGCGGCGGAGGTTACAACCGCGGCGGAGGCGGATACGGCAGACGATAAGCGGCTGTAGGCATACGCGCATCGCACGACTCCTCGACCGGGCTTCGGCGATCATACGGATCGGAATCGGGTTTTCCCCGGTTCCGATTTTATTTGCAGAAAACCGTAGCGTTTTCCGAGGGGGACGAAAAGCTTCCCCGTGCAAATCCGTTATAAAAACGCTTTGCCGACGGGACGGAGAGGCAGTGTAAACCAGAAGGTGGAACCTTCGTCCGGCACGGACTCGACGCCGATCCGCCCGCCCAACTTCGAAACGATCGTTTCGCAGATCGAAAGCCCGAGACCCGTCCCCTGGGCAAACGCGTCGAGTTTGACGAAGCGACCGAACACGTCCCGCTGCTTCTCCGGCGGAATTCCGCATCCGGTATCCGAAACATAGAAATACAATTCCCCGTCGTTCCGATCCCGGTAACCGAAACGGATGTTTCCTTCGGCCGTGAATTTGATCGCATTGGTCATGAAATTAGTCACGACCTGCATCAACCGGTTCGGGTCGGTGCGGATCCGGTAATCGCTCTCCGGCTCTTCGAACCGCACATCCACCGGATGACCGTCCGGAATCCGCAGCCGGATGCTCTGTTCGATCCCGGAAAACATTTCCCGCAGATCAACGTCCGACTCGGTGAATTCGAGCGTTCCGGCCTCGATCTTAGACAGGTCGAGGATATCGCCGATCACTGGAGCAACAGTTCGTTGTTGTTTTCGATGATCGAAATATACCCCCGTTTCTCTCTTCGTTCTCCGTATCGGCCAGCACGCTCGAGAAACCGACAATCGCATTCAGCGGCGTCCGAATTTCGTGGCTCATATTGGCCAGGAAAGCCGATTTCAAGCGATTCGACTCTTCGGCTTTCTCTTTGGCCTCGCGCAGATCCTGTTCGAGTCGTTTCTGCACGTCGATCTGTAGCGAAGCGCCGACCAGTTGCACCGGGCTCCCCGAAGCGTCGCGCTCGCGGATGACGGCGAAACTCTTCGCCCACTGGTAGCCGCCCTGCACGTAGATCACCCGGTACTCCTGTTGCAGGATGTCGTTCCGGCCGGCCAGCAAGTCGGCGTAAGCGGCGCGCATCCGCTCCCGGTCGTCGGGATGGATCATCGCATAGTACTGTTCGTCCGAGACGATCAAGTGCTCGCCGGAATGATCCTCCATCCCGGACGTATAAGAGAGATCGCAGTCGACCAGCCCTCCCCCGACGTCCCACGTCCAGGGAGTCAATCCGGTCGCCTGCAGCACCAGTTTATACTTTTCATTCAGCTCCTCCTGCTCGGCGCGGTGCCGTTCCATCCGCGCCAGGGCCAGGTGCTCTTCGGTACGGTCGATACAAAATACGTCCTTAATCCCCGCTTCGCTGCTGCTGAACACCAGCTTGTCGTAATAGCGCAGCCCCTTCGCACCGTCTACGACGAACGAATGAACCGTCTGTTCGGTCTCCGCCAGACAGGAGAGTTTGTCGCGGCAGGACAACGCTTCGCTCAGCCGTTTGCCCAGGATCTGCCGGCGTGTACATCCGAATACCTGCTCAAAGGCGGGATTCACATCAAGAAAACTCGAAATCGGAACCGGACGATCCGCCGGCGATCCGCTTGCGCAGATAGATCACCGGCATATTGTCGACCAGCTTCCTGTATTGCGAGAGCAGTTGGAACTCGCGGTTCTGCTGCCGCTGCCGCTGCATGAACCAGCGCAACCTCATCACGACCGCCGATACCAGCAAACAAAAGCAGCGCTCCCAGAACGACCAAGTGAAATTTGTATTTCTGGAAAAAGCCCGGAGGAACCTGCGTATATACGGCGTCTTTCGGAAACAGGGCCGGATCGACCCCTTGGTGTACGAGGTGATGATAGTCGAGGTAAGCCGCCGGAGCGCCGCCGTCTCGCCAGGAGATGTCGCGGGCCGGCTTTCCTTCGAGAATTTCCGGATAACGGCGTGGCCACCCGACTGAACTCGATCGCCGGAATGTAATATCCGCCCGCGAAGCTACCCTCCTCGTGATCCCGGTCGGTCAGCGTAAAAATCGGCGTGTGGGCCAGCCCGAAGATCACCGCTGCACGTGATCGTCCAGGTATTCATGCCGGTTCTGGGTAACGAACCAGGAGTAGTAGATAATCCCTTTATCGTCGAAACCCGAAAGCGTATCGAGCAACTGTCGGTCGTCAATTCCGGCGTGCTGAGCGATTCGAACGCCAGATCCGGGAAATATTTCTTTACCGTCTGCCGCACCTCTTCCCGGATGCGGAGGCTGATGTAGCGATGATCCGAAATCAGGGCCACGGTATTCATTCCGGGCTGCAACTGCCGCATCATCTCGATCGTTTCCGGATAAAAGAGGGCTGTTTGAGGATGGTCAGGTTAATCCTTCGGCAATCTCCGAAGCCGGCACCGCGTACGGCTGTCGAGGTTTCCGCCGAGCAAATCTCGATCGAAGCAGGCATCGAATCGCGCGAATAGCAGATCACCGTCGGCACTTCCTTCCACTCCCTGTCGAACAGGGGACGGCAAACGAGCCAGCCGGGATCGCCGATATAGATGACCGCCCGGGGCGGAACGGGATATTTGGCGAGCAGCATCTCCCGTTTGGCTCGGGCGTCCTCGGGCGTCTTCATCATCGGGACGAGCAGCTCCTCGGTATCGACGCGCACCCCTTGTTGTCTGACCTCTCCACCAACGACCGGTACAGGACATCCGACCATGCTTCGCCGAACGAAGCGGAATTCAGCAACAGAACGTAATTGCCGTTATCGGATCGCTGTCCATAAACCGATGGAAACCAACCGATGAGAAAAAATAAAATACACAGCCGCTTCTTCATAATTGCAGGCCGCAAGGACCCGGGTATCCGTTTACCAAATTCCAACGGTTAAAAAGTAATAAATTGCCACACCTAAAATTTCTCAGGTATAAAAGCGGCCAGAAACAGAATATAGCTTGAAAACCCGACTCACGGGTCCGTATCCCACGAACCGGAATCGTCGGTGCGCCTCCTACAAATCGTCGTCGGTCGGCAGCGGCCATTCGTCGGTGCGGAAAGGCGCCGCGGGTAGCCCC